GTGTGTGTGTGCGTGTGTGTGCGTGTGTGTGCATACATGTGTGTCTGTGTGAAGATGCCGAGAGTCTAGTGGCAGCCACAAGCTCTGACCACCATGTTGCGGTATTTCTTGAGGATGACGTTGGAGCTGTCGTCAAAGTAGAGCACTGAGATGGCGTGGAGCTGCGTGGGGGCACAACAAGGCTTCGGGACGGTCTCTGGGTTAATGAAATGAACCTGGGAGAGAGAGAGAGCGAGGAAAATGGGGAATTCATCATTACACCATGAACGAATATAATCATGAAGCTCCGTGAGGGAAAACAACATTTTTATTGTACACTTCCAAAAGTTCGACTTCGTCCTGTGTCCCCAGCGTTCTTTTAAAATACAGTAGTTGCAACATCTGCTATACTGCCGTGACAGCTGATGAGATGATTAGACTCTAAACATGACTGCTGGGTTTTTTGTTCCCTGCGTATTTGGTTACTCACAAGGGTTTGCACAATGGCGTGGTTTGTGGCGTTCATGTAGGAGTTTAGTGGGAAGGCGCACTCGCCCTCGCAGTAGTACGCCGCGTATCCCTCTGGAGCGATGATCCAGTCCTGATAGTGAGGAGGGAGTCAGAGGTAAATTTCAGGTTGTGGAGATGGGGAAATGATAAAGTGTGATGAAAGTAGAAACCAAGAGGGGAGACGGAGGAGCAGAGAGTCCAGGTAGCCAGCCAAGTTGGACTCGAGCACCCGAGGACCAAATCTGAGTCAGACCTGGTCTTTATACAGCTGCTCTGTCCAGATTTGACTCCTGCACAGACTCTAAATTATCAGCAGCGCACGAAAGAATATTTTGGCTTTATTTTTGTGCAACTGGAGGAAATGGAGACATGATTTCCATTTTTTTGTTTTCTCCTTTTTTTTTACACTCTATAACTAATTGACCCAGGACTTAGTGACTGAATCAAGGTGAAACTGCAAAGTGGATATTACACCCTAGGGATAAAGTATATGTGGGCTGATTCTAGTGTGATGTAAATTTGGATCCTGTGATAAGATCAGAAACCGTCTCAGTTAAGCGTCGTTCTCTCCGTACCTGCCACCCCAGGTCCCTGAAACTGACGTAGAGCTCGTGCTTCTTACACGCCTGCTTCTGATCAGTACTGCTGTTTTCTGAGGAGAGGGACAGACAGAGAAAAGGACAGACATTCAGAACATGTGCTATTTTCCCAAATTAACTTTTTATCACAGTCAGGCCCTAATTAGGCAGAGATATAGACCAGATCTAAGCACAGCCAGAGTTCCCATATGAAGCATTAACATTCAGACAAAGGCTGAAGGAAATCACCTCCAGATACAGCAGCAGTTTGGTAATTGCTTCAAATGAATGGGCCACCCTGCTTAGAAGTCACTCAGCTGGGCTTTGAGTTTCCACTGGCTGAAACAGATGTGCACAAAGAGGGGGCTTGCCACATTTTATATAACTGGAGTCTTTTATTTATTCTCTCTGCTTTCTCCACACTCATTTCAGCTTTTCTCTTTACACCATCCATGTGTTAAAAAAAGAATAATCTGTTTTCTATCTAATAGTATTTCTCTCTCGCTCTCTCTCTTTTTCTGGTGACCTCTGGGGCTCTGTGGTACATTAGTTCCTGAGAGCTGTTCACATTGGAAATGATCACGAGCGACTGGTTCTCATCATCCAGTTAAAGACCACTGGTATCCAACGTTCCAAACAGGCCCATTTGGCCCATGTGTTGTGGCCCCGGTTGCCCCACAGCACACCACAGATGTGTTCTGCCATAAAAGCCTGTGCTGCCTTACCTCCATGCAGAGAACTTGGCCCCAACTCCTCTGTAATGCTCAAGTAAATAAACAAAGACAGCAGAGGGGTATTTGAAGCTCAAGTATTACGGTGTAATGTTTCAGCGCTTCGCATAAACACGGGCGCGCTCACACCTCCGAGACGAATGTGCATTGCATGTTTTGTCGTGCAAGAATCCAATCAGTTCCAAAAGCATCCTTTTGTTGGTGTTGGATGTGTTGTGTGTTTGTGAACATGTGCCTCATGAATGAGTTCATACTGTACGTGTTGGCCAGTGTTCCATGAAAATGTAGATTTTTCTCACATGAACCAACAAGCATCAGTCATCTGTGACCCATTCCATGAATTCCTGGCAAGGCCAACAAAAGCCAGAATAAAGCAGTACAGCAGTATACACCAGCACTGAGCTCGTACCTGCAACACTGGCCACTCTGAGTGCCTCTTGGCTCTTTGCCCCTTTGGAGCGGTTGGGGTTACGCTGTTTGGTCCCTGCCGGCGCTGAGCGGATACTTCGCAGGTGCACCTCGGTTGCTTTGAAGAAGGCCACCATGAAGGGCTGTTTATTCTGAGGCCCACTGCGACCTATCAGCCCCGCCACACGAGGATTGATACTCTCTCCTGCAGGGGGAGAGAACAGTTCAGCAGGTGTTTTGTCAAAGAAATCCAGATTTTATTCATAAAAGACAAACACTTCTGTCATGTCTTTAATGATAGCTTCAGTTTTATAAATTAGATTTTCCTCTGTGAATTCCTTTCCCTTTTTCTCATCCCCTCTCCACCTCAACAAACGCACACTGAACATCAAAGCTTCTCTATCTGCTATTTGTGTGGGTGTGTTCGTGCACGTGCATGCATGTGAGAACTGCTGGCGTGCCCAGCAGTTCTCACACAGAAGAATTTCTGTCTCTCTGATCACCGTTTGGTGGTAAATCAAGGCCTCTGGTCGCTGCTGGCGACAGGACGTCCCGTGCGCCTGTCTGTACATGCTCCCCCTTCGTACCCGATCCACACACAAACACACACTCATGGATACAACCTCCCGCACACACCCCTCCCAAAACACGAGAGCAACACAGTGCCTGTTTTTCTCAAGTAACGTGTAACATCCTGCCGTCCTGTGACAGATAATATTTTTTTGATGAAGTTTACCGAGTGACGAACACTGAGATGTTATCTTTACAGTGACGCAGCGTATTTTTCTGCATGCCTGCTAATGATGCTGAGGGTACAACGGATGACTGATGATGAATGATAAGGAGGAGTGGGGCCTATTTATCTTTCACATGATTGTTTGGCCTTTCAGTCACAACATCGGAGCGATGCAGACGTCAATGTTTGTTTGATCATATCCAACAATATCCATCAACTCCACATTATACAGTTATATTGGGTCTGTCTGAAGAATATGATAATCTGATGGTTGTGAGGTTTTATTGTACTCTGTAGTTTTTTATGGTTTCAGTGTGGTTCACCTCAAAGAAGAAGGCAACTAATTGCATTTACTCCCGTTAGAGTACAAAGTCGTATTCGTCTCCATATTTGAAATTGCACTAGGCCAATCTAGCAATACATTTTCCATTTTAGATCACAATTTTGTACTTGTAATGAATGCTAAAGACATTTTTATAAAGACTTGTGGCCTGACTTCACTTTCTCCTGTACTTTTAAAAACTTTTTAACCTCATATTGTACATGCGCTAAAGTAAAATGCTTTTCCCTCTAGTCTAGACTTTTCGAATCATTAGATTCTTTATTAATTAAAAATAAATCTTCTCGCATTCTTAGTCTTATATTTTGTGTGACTCAATTGTTCGCCTTAAGTTCCTCATTTTTTGACTTGTAAGCACCTTATAACTGAGCTAAAAAAATTAAGTTCATCATTTTTTTTTCTTTTTTAACTGAATTAGCTTCTGTACTTCATAATTTCACACCATTTACCACAGTGTACCTCACTGTCAGTGGGACACTGTTTATTCTCCATGGTCATTTATCTGGTTTCTCATCTCCTGATCTTTGTACCATTTATTTTCATCTTCTGCAGCAAAACACATCACACCAGTAACTTTGTCATCTGTAGTGTTCTACATGCTGAGGACGACACTGATCTGAGTGAATCTCACCGTTTGTGCTCTCCAGCGCGAGCTGTAGCCCCAGGTTCCTGCCCGGGTTCAGGACCCAGTGGTTACTGGTGGCTGTCACGTCGAACACCAACCAGCCCTCCTCTGCTGCCCAGATCACCCGCGAGTCCAGCAGGAACAGATCGGACTCTCTGGAGAGGAACACGACAATAAAAGTTCACACTTGAAGTCAGAGAAGAACATGAGTCAACAGGGATTATATGCACAATTACAAAAGATAGGTTGGAACCACCTGACAGTGTAAAGCTAAGTGACCGGAGCGCAAAGCAAAGCAGTGGAGGGGAGAGAGGGAGTCAGCAGAGTGTGACGGAGTGAAACAAAGAGAGAGAGATGGAGCAAGAAAGCAAGTCAGGGAGGGAGGTGGGGAGAGAGGGCTCCAGATGGTGAGGCCCAGGGGAACACTTCGTTTTCTTAATTGACAATAATGGCTTTATAAACGACCAGTCCTTTCATACACTATGCACAGTCCATCACTGGCTGGAATTTTGTGGGAGAGCCAGAAAGCCAAAGAGAGAGAGAGAGAGAGGGAGAGAGAGAGGGAGAGAGAAAAAAACACAGCTGTGAAAGAGGAAAAAACTGTGTGAAAACTAGTGAGTGAAACAGTGCATGTCCTAGTCAGTCCCACTGAACTCTGGATTTTCCACTCATCCACCATTGGAGACTCAAATCTCTTGTTCTCCATGTATCCCGACCTATTTTGTGACTGGGCAGATAGTGTGTCACAGAGCTCTGGTCCATTCATGTACCCAGGCCCGTCTTTGGCAAAGGAATAAATGACTGTGTTGTTCCCTCTGCACAACAGAAACCTTCAGGCGGGGTCGAGGAGAGTAGGACACAGTGACATGTACACATCTTCATGATGAGCCACATGGAGAATGTGGGGCCAAATGTTCAGATCAGAGAAGATTCAGGAATAGAACTGCAATTTATGGTTTTCATTACTGATGTTGATTTGTAGTTAACTAATTGTCTAAATTGCCAGGTACTAAGTTGATGCTTTGAAACTCCTTTGTTCAAATAACTTTCAGAAAACAAAATGTATTTTGGCATGTCACATGTATAAGTATTAAATAAAGTAATAAAGTTAAAGTAAAGTAATGCATGAGGCTTTAGTTTCAGGGTCTTGGTCTAGTGTGAATATCTGCTGTGAAAAAGACGTTAAAAGACAAAAAAGACAATTAATAATGCAAGTATTTTTACTTTGTTCCTGATAAATAAATAAATAAATAGTGAGTCGATAACAAGACAAAATCACGACAGCAGTTCTGTGATTTCTTGGACTGATTAAAATGCATGAAATCATTTTACAGAAGTTTGGTTGTTATTGAAATCTGACAAATTGTGACCTAATGATGTTGTGAGATAAAATGTTTAGGGGATTAATAAAGTTGTTGCAGGTAATCCTGCAGGGGACTTAAAAGTTTGAACCAAAATCAATGACACATCATCCGTTTCTGGGGCATTTCACAAAACAAAAAATATAAACTTCATTTTGGGACAAGGGACAAGTGGTGGATTGATTAATCAACCAAACAATCACTTCACTTACAGTCCAGCCAGTCACTGCTTAACAAAACAATAAACTCATGTTATTATAAACAAACACCAATACTCACCTATCTGAATGTTCCTCCAACACCTGGTAGACGCTGATGCGGAAGGTCTCGTTATCGTAGCGTTCGTGGATGAAGTCTTTGTAAATGCGAAACTCAGCAGCGGTGACCGTCTCCCCCTCTGGGATCCGCGAGAGGTCAAATCTGAACTCTCTGTGATGCCGCCGCACTGGGAGGAATTCCTTGTCGTGCTCTACTGCGAAAAACAAAACGTACATATGAAATACATTTGCATCATCATACACATTGTGTCTGCAGTGTACGGAGAATGCTGTTTCTATTCACGTGGGCTGGTCTGCACGCTCCCTTTAATCAGCAGAGACATAGAATGTCTGCAGGGGGGACACAGAGGGGTCATGTGACTTCATATAAGCTCTACGTTTGGTGTCCAGTCTCCCATGGATACAAAACACATGTTTGCTAAAAAAAAAAAAAAGGTAGAAAACCAGTATCTGTTTCTCTCAGGCTCTTAACTCTTGTTAGCGGGGAGCTGACATAGCCTGACAGACTCCGGATCAGCCTCAGATTAAACACATCTATAGATGTGCACTACATATGTTGGTTTATGATTGAAACATTCATGAGGACTAGCACTAGAAGCGATGCATCTGGTGCACACTGGGCCGTGATAGAGAGAAGCAGGCGGCCTCTGACAGTTTTATGAGCCCCCTTTCTTCTCCTTCTCTTCCTCTCAGAGCCCCAGAGAGTCATCCAGTCTGCCCTTCATCTGGTTCTCATGAGTTGGGGCTACATGTTTGGTGTACCCCCATCCCCATCGCCTCCTCTGTCTTCATCCCCAAACCCCGGCTTCCCAACCCCCACCGTACCCCCAAGACGTGCCCCACCTGACCCTGGTCCTCTCATGTCCCAGCAGGACATCCCAGGGGTCAGCGCCTTGTCTCTCATCATCTCCTTGCTCTCCTTCCACCTCCATCTTTATCAACTGTCAGACAGACCCCCCACATGTACACAGAGCAATACATATACAAACAGATACGTAAACACACACTCAGAAGTGCCCTAAATAACTTAGGATCACTTATAAGCTTGAATAAAAACATGAAATCAATATAACCACGGTGGCATTTCGAACTGTTTTTTATCTTGTCCTCTTTCTACAAAATTCTGACTAAAACTATTAATAATTCATTAATAGAATTGAAAAACAACAAATTTAGAAACTGATTCATTTTTAAGGAGAAAATAAAACTAAATCTCGTCTAGTTTTTGGATGTAGATATCCCCTTTCTCTCGATAGAGATATTATTAATTGTTAAATTAAAAAAAGAAAATAAATAAATAATAAAATATATATATACAAATATTAACTTATTGTAAATTGGAAATCTCTTGCACTAGCAGGGCAAGTAACTTTAAAGACATGACCTTCGTAACTAAAATTAGAGTCCAAAGCAACTCTTTGGAAGAGTGACTTGGTTCAAAATAATGAACAATCAGTTAATCAATAATCAAATTAATCTTTCACTGTCTTCATACAGTTAGATATCAACCACCTCCCCTGCAGGGCTGAGTCGCAGCTGGGTTACAGAGTAAAGACTCCCTCCTGCATCCACCATCCATTGTTGCTCAACAATTCTTTATCAGGGTCCACTGCCTCCATGGCTCTGAGCCACGGCTTTGGCATGAGAACAACAAGTCCCCGGATCTTTGCAAAGCCGTCAACATGCTCACACATCACCGGACAAGTACGCACACATGGGCAAACGCAAAACAATTACGACGACAACGAGAAAATACAAATAAACAACAAATATGAGTCAAACAAATCTCAGATGACAACATACTTGTTCTGCACCAGCTGTCAGTAATATAAGTGTGCAATGATGCAAATGTTATGCATGTTTCACTGCACACATGTGGTTGTATTTCTTTCAGTACACACATCATCCTTCTTATGCAGTTTTCCCCGTGCACTCTCCTCTACATCCCCTTTTGTGGACGTCTCTATTAAACCCAGTTGCTGAAGTACATAATACAAAGGCAGCTCTGTGAAATGATTGGCCGGAGCAGGAGTAAAAGAAAGGATCTAATTACTCTTCAATGAGGGACAGCTCTGCACTCTGTTGGCCATTAGATGGCCTTGCTTTAGGCTGCCATTGTCCTCCATCTGCTCCGGGCACACACTGGGCTGCTTTGAAAAGCTGTTCAACTCTTCCTGAAAACAATTGGAGTTCAAGGTTACGTGGACTTCACTGTAGACCTTTTATCAATTCAGCATCACTTCCTCCAACCACCCCTGCTTATTTATCACCTGACTCTATCAGTCCCCTCACTGTCAACACTTGTACCAATCCTGTGCTGTGGACCACTCCGTCAATAAGGTCTTTTATCAAGCGCTCAGCCTCCAAGTCACACTTTACATCGAACAACTAAAAAAGCCTGAAGCTCAAGGGAGTGCACTGTGTTTTGTGTGCTCACTCCACACTCTATAATTGCCCACAGGTTCGTGAACATTTTTCTCTTATCACCAATGAAATCAAAATGTTGGATTGCTTGTTGTTGTTGTTGGAGAAAGGGATTGCTTAATTTGAATCATCCAAGAACTAATGAGGTGAATATTTCAGAAGGAAACCTAGAATGGTGCTTCCCCCTGCCAAGGCCCAACAATTCAAGACCAAATCTGCCAGGTTTGTATGGACATACTTCAAAAATGATTTAATATGCATATAAACTGTTGATTTTCTACTGAATCTGCATTATCTTAGCTACACATATGATAGTTATGGGTTTCTGGCCCTATTTCTTACTGTAGAGTGGATGAAAACAGTCTATGTCCATATGAAACCACATTTAAATCCACTAGATCCAGATTTTTTCTTCATTGACATCAATGCAGTATTCCCTGGGAAATTGGTGAAAATGTTGAAAAACTCTGGATCGTGCAATGTTTACACAAGGGATTTTTTGGGATCTGCACCAAAATTATTATAATAATCTTGGCTCAAGTCCCATCCTTCCACCTGAATCTATGGAAATCTGTTCAGCAGACTTTGCGTCACACAGCTGAAAACCCAAATAACAAATAAGGCTAAAAAATAACCTCTTTGGCAGAGGGGGAAAAAAAGAGCAAAAAATGTGTCACAAATATATTTGATCTTTCATATTCCTTTAATCACCCTGTGACCATCTTGTGTGATTTATCTTGCATGAGGTTGGGAAACACTGTTGGAGCCTGCAACGCCTGGAGCAGCATAACAGGACACAGCATATAACAAAGTAAGGGCTACCATTTTCATTTTATTATCCTTCCAGGAAACAATTACTTCATGTTTTCTCTCTCACATTTTCATTTTCCGTCCTACCTCTCTGCTCCGGGGCCTGCTTATTCTTCCATCACACTAGGGACCTCTCCCTCCTCCTGTAGCCATGTGCAGGTGCGCTCCCTCCCGTGAGGACGCCAGAGCAGCCGCCCGCCCCTCCACTGCAAAAGCTCTTTATCTTTGCATGCGAGAACAGCTGGATGCTTCTGTTCAACTCCCACGCTAACTATTTCTATCACATCACTTTCCATTTCCACTGCTCAATGCATGAAATTCATCATGTACAGTTTTAGAGAAACTGAGCACAGCCATGATTCTGTCATTGTCCTTTCTTTCACTTTCTCTCACAGGCCATTACAGCAAGATGGCAGTCATTAGATGAGGGGAAGACGCACAGTTTAAGCCAAGCTGGAGCATTTATGACTTCCTCTGGGAGGAAGTGAGTAGCCATCGCCCCACCTGTGTTACACAAATGCACTCACCACAAACATGGCAAACACACCCTCTCATACCATGTGAGCCCTTCATTTGAAGTAGCCAGCTTCCCGATCGGTTGCTGCACCACACATGGAAACACACACACACACACACTATCACAAAGTATTGCCTCTGAAGTGAATAGCCTTGTGCGTCACACACAATCATTATGGGTTTCTGTAATCCATAATTAGAGATGCAACAACACACACACGCAAAGAGACAAACACACACGTGCACGCACGCACAAACATGCACAAACATGCACACACACAGTGAGCGGCTTTTATCATTCGGTCTGATTTGCTCTTCACAAAAAGTGCTGATGATGACAGTTATCCCACATCATTGGACTCGTGCGGGCCACACACGTGCACAGCAGCACACATGATGAGATGTCGGGATGGAGATGAGTGCTCCATTCCTCAGATCTACCACGCACCTGGTAACCAGAGGGTTACCGTCCAAACACTAGCTTCTTAAGATGTATTTTTCCCTGCTGGGTATACTGACTCCTTCTCCACTGTAGTGTTACTTTATAACAGTTATTTAAGGTTTACCACTACTTTCTAATGTTTCAATAACATGCTGTTTTTCTAAAACACTGGAAATGTATCAAACACTGTGACATTCAGTTCATGGTTTTGTCCATTGACTGTCTATCTGACCAATAAGTATTTGTTAGGTGTAGTCAAAGTCTAAAATAGTTTATTCCTGTTTGTATGAACACTGAACACCAACACTGCAGTTTCATTCATTCCACATCCACTGTTGTGCTGGCATTAACACCCACTAGGGCACCACAGCTCAAAAAAGTCATGAAAGTTTGTTTAACAAAAAATTGTGTCCACAATGTCGCACACCATGACCTCCTAAAATAGTTAGTTTTGGTAATTTCATTGAATTTGACAGCAACTATCAAACATTACCAAATATCCTTCAACTCCTGTTTTCTCTCTTCTTGTAAATCCATCCCTTCCTCTTTTTCTTCTATTTTCCCTCCTTAATCCCCTTCCCCCTCTACTACAGTGCCTGCGGACCCAAGACACTTCTCCGACACCTCAGGCTCCGGAGCAGCGGCAGACAGATCTGACGGCTCGAATTAGCCCAAGTGTCTGTTCGCCGCCCTCACACCCCTCGGTCCCGCTTTGCACGCTTCCGCTGCTCGGTGGGGGTCAGGGCTAGGGGGAGTTCACCCCTGGCACTGCTCTCACTTCTAAAAAGCGACGGCTTAAGCTTTGCCACCCCCCCCATCTCCCACCTATAATTCCCCTGAGTTAATTGTGCTACCACTATCTGCCTCCCTGTAGAGGCCATTAACTCCGACGACACACCTGATACCCAAAGACACTGGAAAAGTCACCAGTGAGTCAAATCAGATGATTTAATGATGGACGTCCATGAAAGTTGCTGTCACACTAAATAGACTCATGCAAAT